TATGTTATAGGTGATTTATGACCATGGTCTTATTTTTAATCTCATTCAGAGCCTTAATATCGTTTTAATCTTTCAAAAAGAAATATAGGAAATTAATGTTTTTTTATTGATATATTTTATAATGAATATTTTATGATATATGAATATCTGTGATTTTTTCTATTGATCTCAACTTATTTACTATAAATAATACTTTTAATATATTTTTTTATGAAACCTCTTATGAATATATTTTATGTATATTCAGTGCTTTATCTGTTGGATTTTAGCAATGGAATTTCACGAATCTTTATGGATTTGAAATATTGCAATTAAAAATGATATAAGTTTGACTCTTTCTTATGATATAAGTAGCAGTGATTACAGGGAAATTAAGAGACAGCCAACTTGACAGTGGAAAATTCCACAGAACTTGATACCTTGCTTCTCAAAGCCTGCTGTATATTTATTTTAAAATATTTGTTGGAATATTATGCTATGTGGCTTTCATTTTTATTAATACTAGTAGTTCGATATAAACTATAGGATTTTATAAAATATAGGATGTAAACTTGGACAATGAAAATGTGTGAGAAAAAAATCATGTAAAATTTAGAATCATTTCTTAATATTTAAAAGTGCATTTAGATATTCACAAACAGTGGAAAAACATACATGTAAAATGGTTGCTTCCCCATGCTAGTGTTTTGTTTTCTTAAAAAAACAATAGTTTGTGCCTGTTTAAGGTGTGTTTAGACATTTCACAAACTAAAAAGACACAATTATTAAAATGATTGTTTCCTTATTTTAATATAGTTCTCCTTTCTATTTTCTTTCTCATATGGGAAACAAGAGAAATCAAAAAGGGAAGGAGGTTTAGGAATTATTTAGAAAATAGGAGACTGCAGTAACCAGAACATTTAATTTCTTGAGTATTATCAAGGCATGCCATGCATATGGGACCAACATAATAAATTTCACAAATATAAACAAAATGTTGATGACACCTGGACCAGGCTGAGCTATTTATTAAATAAGTATTACTGAATTAAAATATAAAAAAGGTATCCTCATGGTTGCATTCAGGAGACACTTTAAAAGAAAGAATGATTGTATCCCTTGAGGAGCGAGTATCACTTTACTTTGGACATCACCAACATAGATTCCCTTGGAATAGGTTTTAAAAATGATGTTTCAATTTATCCTGACTCATATTCCAAAACCAATAAATTAAATTTTGTTTCTTAAGAAAAGTTTTGTATAAATTTGAAGTTTAATACATTTATTTTCTATTGGTAGTATTATAAAACGTCAAGATTCACTCAAAATGTAACTTTAGAAAAATAATATAGTTAAGAGATATTGGAATATGGGTTTCATTATTATTAGATGTCAAAAAATCATCTATAATGGTTAGTGTATGTATTTTACATTTCATATGTGGCAAATTATCAATTATAAATATAATATTATGTGCCAGACAAATCTATATTATAATGTATTATATCTATATTATAATTATACATGTTTGTTCTTAGGGGACCAAATGTCCCAGAATAAAATTTATTTTCTTCTTCTTATCTATAGGTGTTATGGGGGTCGATCATATTTTATATATTTTTTTTTTGTATACTCTAAAAAATGTAATATTTTCTAGAAATCCTACTTTATTTTATCTTAATGGTTTTGTATTTGGTAAATAGTATTTATCTTTGGTTCCTAATGCATTTCACCCTAATGAATGCTTTTAACTTAGACTGAAGTGTTGGCATTAAATAATCTAAGGCTCCTTATTTGTGTTATTCAATTTCATTTCTGGTTGCGCCCACAACCAACTTGTGCTTATTTCTTCATTTATAATTTAAAAATTGTATATAACCATCACTTTCTACTAATAATTAGAATAAGATTAAACATAGAATAAAAATCCTAATATACATGCATTAATAAAACAATTATGTTAAAACTGCAAATGTTCAATATGATGTTAGCCATAATAAAAGTTTATATATAATATAATACAATTTTTAAGTCCAATATGTAATTTGCAGTTTGAAAATTAATTTTTTTGTTATGTGATTTCTTATTTGTTTATGTTATAGTTCTTTTCTTATTCTACATTGGTCTTGGTTTGATCTATTGTAATTATTAATAGGATGTGAACAAATTCCTAAAATTATAAATGTTGAAATTTGTAGAATTTGGTTGGGGGAGGGAAGGAGGTGGGGGTGCAGTCAGAAATTGTATTGCAAACAAATATGAAATATTCCTTTACTGAGTGCTGATGTTTTAACCCAAGTTTTAGGTCTTAATCAAGGCGAGACGCGTCGGCATCCAAAGACAACTATTATTTATCAGATAGAACCTTGAACTATGACTTGAAACCATAATACCAAAAAAATAGGTATCTTAAACTTGTTAATATGTGAAAAGTTCTATTGTGAATTTCAAAATAATACACATTTGCCTTAATAGATAATTTTATGATCTATTTTCCAAAACTAACAACATTATTTTCTTAAGTAAAGCTTTGTTTTAATTAGTTAGTTTGATAATGCACCCTGATGTGGCCCTAAAACTTAGAAACAATAAAATGAGATATCTTAATTGTTTTTATATTTATTTAATGTCCGACCACACTCTAACCAACTTCTACTACTAAATCAACAATATTAAGACACCATTATAAATTTAGAAAATTGTTCACAAAACATTAGGAAACATGTCTCTTATTGTTCACTTAATTACTGTTCAATATAATATTGTTCTGAACGATTTTAATTTTAATAATGAAATTTAGAGATTGACAGAATAATTAGCATTAAATCCTGATGTATGTAAAATGAGGAAATCTGAGGTAAAATGGAGGCAATGACCTTACTTGATTTTTATATAAATTAAAGATTGCTAATTTACTATAATAATAAAAAATCAGTTTATTTTTTTAGATTCAACATATAATTAGATAAAAAATTACACTTTTGAAGAATATTATTTTTTCATTAGGTAATTTTTAACCACATAACAAATATAAAACATTCTAAAGATAAAAATATATTTAAAACAAAAATAAAGAATAGAAAATAAAACTGAAATAAATATGTGAAACTTGATAAAGTTAGGTTATATCCTTTATTTGATTTATATCCTGGATATCCTTTCATTTGGTTGTTGGCATTTCTTACATCAACTGAAGCGATCAAGATTGTAGGAATTGAGATTTGTGGATTTATTAGGGTTGTAAGTTCCTCCATACCAACTCAAAATAAACTTTTTCCTAGCTTCTTCTATATGCTACTTAGTTAGGGAAGAGATTAAGGAAACTGCAGCAATCCTATGGATGTTATAGATACTTCATATAAAGTTTAATGATTCTTAATAATGGAAAAGATAACCGGAAGTAGTATTAATAATACTGAAGCTTAGAGGGCTGGCAGGTTCGATACCAACTCCACTAACAATCGCTGCTTACATCTTTCTCCAAAAATCGAGATGTTGAAAACTTAATTTCCTTCAAGTAACTAGGAGGACCATATTAGTTCAGCGAATTGGACAATTGGCTGCTAAGCTCTTGGTACCAGTTTCGAATCCGGCTGATGATATTTAATTTTTCATCAGCCATGGATTAACCCTAGGTCGGAAGCCCCTCCTGGGGCACACCCAGCCTCTATAAAGTCGGTTCTCTTAATTAAATAATTAATTAAGAGGAAAAACCTTGCCGTTGAGAGTGATCCTGGTCCGATCACCTCTCTGCAAAACCGTTGGCCTTTGTATTTCCTGACAAAGAACCGAACCCAAGACTTATCAGAGCTAATTGAGCAGTTTTTAAATTTGTTGGGGCTTAAAAAAAATATTATCAATTCGTATTGATTTCAATACTACGAATACCACAACGCTCTGATACCTTGATGAATTCTTGAGATCCATGTTAGATATTTCATTGGTCTTACTTTCGGGTATTAATGGGATGGAAAGGGGGGGGGAGTGGAGATCACCGTTATCTATCGATGGCTAAGCCCCGCTCGCCATATAGCCCATTAGTCGCGGCTTTGACGGCCCGTCCTCTACCCTGTTCAAGATGCCCTCCTAAGATATAACGGGTTATTTCCGCTTTGCTAGCCCTCTCTTCACTACTTGCTACTTATGGCCTTCTTTGGTTATAAAAGTTACTTTTATAACGTTGTTCACATGATTTACTCTGCGTATTTCTGCTTAAGTTCCCTCCACCATCAGTCTGATTGCAAAGCATTGTTTCTATTTTTGTTATTTGTTACAGGCAAATTTACGGGGGGAGGGGGCTTTCGGGCTGAAGACCTCTCCCCTCCCCCTAAATTGGTAAAATGTAAGCATGTTTTATGGTAAAAAATATTAGAAAATTATGTCTTAAAGTATTATTGCTCGTTTAATTAAATTTAATAGAAGTTCAAGAATAACTAAAGAAAAAAAAAAGCTGCCGGGCTGAAGCCCCTCCCAAAAAAAAAATTAAATCCTGGATGCGCTAATGGATTCCAGTAACATAGGACTAATAAGAAACATGTGTCAATATGTAGAGAAAATCAATTAAGTGAACAAACAATGAGGAATTCAAAAGATTACTATTATTTCCATATACATAAAACACTAGATTAAAGTTCAGAAGACCTTTTTCCCTCACTGCGTTTGTTCTTGACTCTTCCGCCATAAGACATTCGCAGCCTAATAAAGTTTTGCTGTAAACTTATAAAAAGTCCTAATTGTATGTTTGAGGAACGATCGATCAAAAGTTTATACATCCACTTCTGATTATGAGGGCATCTCATGTTTATAATAATAAACTCTGGAAAACCCTCAATAAAACCCGACAATGCTCAAAATTTCACGAAAAATGGAAATGGTGCCGGGAAGTGACCCCATCCTAGTCTCTTGAATGTTGTATAATTATTTATTTAAATAAATATTTATTTACATTATTAGTGTTTTACCCAATATTATTTATTTATTATTTTACTTTTGGCTTGTGCTCTGTTAAGCTAATATCATTATTATTCCATTTTTTCAGAAATGTGAACGTCCACATGCGATTTACTGGTTGTTGGACACAGACAAGACCTGATTGGGTTTCTTTCATCCTTTGAACTCTTCACAAGGTACTAAACCAGAATATTTTCTTTTTATTATTTCCTTTCAGATGGAAACTATACTGTGCCATATTAATTGTTGGTGGATCTTGATTTTTTTTATTTTTTATAGATGACTCTTAGTTTATTTATGGTTTATGAGTTTAGAATATTAATTAATATACCACTGATTTATGTATGTAATAAACACGATATAATATAAAAAAAAAAATTTCCTCGAACGAAGATGTCTAATAAATCGAATTCGATTAATATGTGGAATTTTAGTTATTGAAATAATATTTATTGAGTATAATTCGTGAGGAAACATACAATAGATATTATATATTTAACTAGCTTTACCCAGCCACACGCTGCTGTGGCTCAGTCAGACAAAATAGAAATAAAGAATATAGAAAGCACATATGAGTGGATTAATACCAGAGGACATCTATCATTTTTAAAAAGTTAAAAAAAAAATCTAATCTAATTCTAATGATTTTTTTCTTGATTCAACTTGAACATTCTTAGTCATCTGAGTGAATACGCCGTAATTTTTAATCATCAGAAACAGTCTGAGTTGAACTTATAAAGCTAAAATTGAATTTATCTCCGCTTTCTGAAAATGACAGAGATCCGTCTTTGATATGAAGCCACTTATATATTATTATGTTTAATTTTGTTATTAATATGTATATTTAATGTACTGTTTAATGTTCAACTTTGGGTTATTTATTTTATGGCAAATAAAAATGTAAATGTTTGTTAGTTCAAACTCTTAAATCTCGGAAACTTCTTCACACATTGCCTTGAAATTTTGGCTTAACGTGGCATTTAAATACGGGCGTGGTTTAATCTACCTACTATTATAAAATATAAGGTGAAACTATACATATTTATTAAAAACGCACCATCAGTTGGATGTAAAAGCAACACATGCGATTCAAAATACTTTACGATACTGTTTCAATGTTCAAGATTTTCAAATATCAAACGTGGAAATGCATTGAAATTGCGCTATACCATTTACCTAGCATAGCGTTCGTTCATTTCGTGTACATTAGAGCTGCCATCTACCTCCCTCAAACGATTTTACGTACCCCTCCCAAGATATTTGATTGCTTGCTTCTCCTTAATAACAACTTGATTAAATATAGAGTTAGGAAAATTGTAGTGGAAAAATAAAACTTACTCATGAGAGAAACCTTACGGTAGAGGGAGAAACCTTATTCATACGTTATATTAAAGAAAATAATTTATAAAAAAATAAAATAAACTGAATTCAATAAAAAAACTGATTTCTAAAAGGAACATAAATAGTGATAATTATTACTAAAGAGTAAAATATTTTTAAATAATAGCAAATCAAATATTTGAGATGTATCATACTGCTTCCATAATACATCATAATACATCACTTCTTCAAATGATAATTTCAATTACTGCAGTAATTATAAAATGTTCGAATAATCAATAAAAAAAAAAAAATGAAAATAGCCTTTTCTTGAAAGTAGTAAAAGATTAAAACTTTATAACTCTGCAACCAATCGTTCCATTTCGATGATTTATTTTTTATTTTTTAGGGAATCCAGAAAGCATTCAAATAAATATGTGTATTATCAATCGAAAATTGTGTACATTTTTAATTATTGGGAAATAAAATTTAGAATTTATCCTTTTTTGCAGCTTGTTTTCGGGAAAGTATGTTTTATACATAAATTACGAGAGTTTCAAGGCGAGGACGTAAGCCAAGTTTCGTTAAAATCGTTCCAGCCGTTTTAGCGCGCTATGTAGGATGGATGTACTATGCCAGAAACCTTCGCGAGAGAGTACGCAATAACTTCCCCAAGTTTCATAGGGATCGGATGAATAGTTAAGTAATGCATAAAGGAGAAACGAAAATACATTCATATATATATACAATTATGGACTATATGTAAGAAGCATGGAAAATAGCTGAAACGTAGCTAATGTAAAATGGAAATAAATGTGATAAAATTAAAACTTATCCTTATTTTATATTATTATAAATAATTTCACTTAAAACCATTAAGGACAACTGTAAATTTTAGTTACTATATGTAAAGAATTGGTATGACCAATATACTTTTGCATTTAACTCTTCCAATTTTTCATGAGGGCTTAGTCAGATTTCTCCTATCTGAAAAATTACAGTAATATCTCTATAGTAATAGGCTATTGAGTAACTGCAAGACCGTTGGTAGACTCTTATGCAAGACCAAAACCAAAACCATCTTAGTGCGTAAGACCCCGACAAGTCTCGGTTTCACATATGGGCAACAATACTATTATCCAGTTAAGGAATTTTGACCGCCACCTTTAGACAAAATACTAGACGAAATAAAATACACACCCTCAGAACATTCCTGAATCCGTCAATTGACAAGAAAAGCTAAAAACGTCATTTAAAAATAAAATTGAGCTTTCGCAACTTAAATGTCGGAATGTTCTCTTGTCGAACAATGTATATTCCTTAGTAAGTCATAATTTTTCATCTAAAAACGTATATAATAGATTCCGAAGCAGATATATATATGGCAAGGGCTAATTTATCTGCTGAATAATATACTGGCCCGGAATAAACACTCCTACACCTGGCGTTGACGAACAATCAGGGCAAGTGCTTCAGGCTGTTGAAGTGGATACCGAATAAATGGAGTCTGATTTCTATTCAATGGGTGCCTTGGAAAACGAATCCTTCTTTTCTAACCGAATATATTTACTTTTTATCAAAGCTATAGTCTAAATACTATAGCATAAAGTCTAACAGATATTAAATAATGTGTATCCATAGTCTTGGGTTTCAATTATTGATATATTGTATTTTCTTATCCAAGAAGTTCGGTCAATCCATTTGAAATAACACAGACTCACTAGCGGATCCAGGATTTAATTTTGGGAGGGGGCTTCAGCCCGAAAGCTTATTTTTTCATAAAAATAACAATAATTACTTTGGTAAATAAGAAAGAAACTAACTACCTATATGGACTGGTGTTTAAGTGATTCCTAAAGCCCATTTAAATGTAATTACACGAATAATTATACTTTTTTTTTTTTTGTTCTCGCCTTTAAGGCTATACGGGGGTGTTCCCGGGCCAGGGAGTGTGGACGGGGATTTAAAAACTCCTCCGGGCACCGGGACTCGAACTCGTGACTATTTTTTTATCAAAGTCTTATGTATCAGGTTGCCGGTCAACGGCGGTGCAGTGCACACACGTTAGCCCATTCGGCCACCCCGCCCATCGAATAATTACTATTATACTTTAAGAGATAACCGAATAATTATACTTTAAGAGATAATGTTTTAATATTTTTTTTCGATAAAAAATGGTTATGTTTTATAATTTTTTGGGGGGGGGGGGGCTTCAGCCCGAAAGCCCTCCCCCCCGTAGATCCGCCCGTGCACAGACCAAATATTTCTCGAATTTTTTTATTCTTATAATTTATGATTAGTTATTCCAAGGTTAATGCTGAGTTCAAAACGATTGTAAAGATCCTTTTAAGGCTTACACTTTTTTTCTTTGGGGACATTTTGAGACAGTCAAGACAGTTGTTATAGACGCATCTCTCAACTATAAATCAATTATTTTTCCGATGGAAAATATATCAGAAAAAGTTTTGAGAATACTAGAGTATTGTTCAAAGCTTAAGTTTGATTTCAAAAAGGCTAACGGTTTTTTTGGCCGCCAAAAGTTGTAAAATGTATTGGATGAAGAAGAAATTTATTTAATCTGAAGAAAAGATTTACTTTAACTTTCATTTTAAGGTTTTCGGAAAGTTTATTATTGCATAAAAGGTTTAGTCAAGGTCGGTAAAATTCTTATAATTCCTAAGATCACGACTGGTACTGTTGATTAAATATGCCAACAATTTCAAATGAAACAAATTTTTTTTAAGATGCGATAAAGAATCACTTTTTAAAATAAACGTATGTTTGCAAGTTAAAGAAAAGGCTACAATGTCGGTAAAATGACAAATAATATGTTGAAAAATATTTGTCAAAACATAAATAAATAAAAATAATGCTGAACGAATAAATCCGATTAGCTATTTAGTCGCAAAAACACTCAGTTTACTCCAACTGTCACATAACAGGACTACAAAATACCACGACGCGTCTGGTAAAGTAGCAAGACTGGGATCTCCTGAAGTCCTGCTTTGCATTTCATATGTGGAGGACAAAGCTTGGCTCGGAATTCCTTGCTCGAATTTAAATAGTTTACATAGGTATACACGTGTTTGAAAAGATCCATTTTAATGGTAGCAAACTTATTTTTTTATTATTTAAAAAAAAATTATTTATATTTATTTTATTTTCGTATGTTTATGTTTCGTGAAACGATATTCTTTGCACTTCAATGTGGCTATTGCATTATTATTACAACAAATTGTTTAAAAAAAAAAAACACTTAAAAAATTACGGTTTCGAGACAAAATTAAAGTCTTAACTTTTCTCTTCGGTGCGGAATTTCACCACATACGTTAAAGAAAAATAATCGCTTCAAGGATTTCAAAAAGAAGCTATTCGATGTGAAAAAAAAAATGATTCAGCTGGTAAATTTGACTGTAAATACATGATAAGTAAAAGCATCGGAACAGTTGAAATGTGGATTTGTAGTTGCCCAGTTCTAGAACAAGACGCAGGTGGGAGAATGGTGTTAGGCTTGACTTTAGATTTAGAATTTTATAGTTGGTAAGGTTACGACAGTTTTATCCATATCAAGTCTTTAACTTGCTAATCCTGTTATTGTTTATTATTAAACATAAAATTGAGATTTTGACGAATATAACTAAAATTATCGCGCTGTACTTTACTTCGATGCAGTTTGTATCGACCGTAACGTTTGGACCAAGTCCAAGTTGCTGATGTAGGCATGAGATATCTAAGGATGGAAAGACGGCTATTTCTCTGGTGCTTAAATTATAATTTTCAGTGCAAGAGAGAATTACGAGTTGTTGCTAAACTATGTCGTGTTGCTAATTCTTACAATTATTATTTATAAAATATAAATTATGCATATATACACATTAATTCACCATTAAATAAAATAGTTTTGTGTTATTATCATATATGCTTATGAGACAAGGATACTGTGCTAGATAGAATTATTGAAAGATTAGTAAGAAAAACACTCCGTACGAAAACTGAGAGCGTTCTGAGCGGGCACTAACGAATGGAGGAAAAAGACCGATGTAAAACTTGTTAAAAAATGGTCAGTCAATATCTCGTTATATGAAAGCACGGTTTAGATGGGCGGTACATGTAGCTTGTAGCACTTAGGAAACGCCATTAGAAAGTCTAGAGAACAATGCCTCAATATATGGTAAGAGACCTTGTAGGAGGTCAAAAACCAGATGGATAGATAGAATAAACAAAGATGCTCTAGAGCATCAAACTGGAAAGTAATACCCTAAGAAAGGCAGAGGTGGAAAAGGCTGGTTCAGGCGGCCAAAAGCCAACAAGATCTGTAACGGTAACTGAAAACACCATATGTACAATAAATAAATATAAAATAAATGGAATGTTGAAATAGTAATACCAAATATATATATATATTCACATAGAGCGATATGGGATCATAACTAACACATGAAGAAGAAAGACAAATAAAGAACTACTTACAGCATGTAACTCGTAGCAATCCATCTGGAAGCCTCGACATAATAATGAATGCCTCAATAGAAGGCAAAGGACCACGTGGAAGGAAAGCAGATGGATAGATAGAATCAACAAAGATGCAATAGAGTTGAGTACAGATAAATGGGAAGAAATAGCCCAAGACAGGCAAAGACGGAGCAGGCTTGTTAAGACGGAAATATTTATATATATATACTTAAACTAATAATAGCTAATAACAATTTAATAAATATTTACAAACCTTCATTTAGGAGAACTTTCAGCGAAGTCTTTCTTCCCACATGTCGAAATAAAACAGGACCGTAGGAGATCCCAGCACCTCTCTGTTACATGCGTCACTGGTAATTATTAGCAATGGAAGCTGTGAAAAGGCGCTATAATCACAGAAATACATGGCTTGAGTGGAAAATCTGACCAATGCCGGAACCCCAATATATGGTTATTTACAAAAGATCTCGGGGCCACTGCCGCCCCAAACTTTGAACTTAACTCAAAGCTTAACGATTCGTGGAGCTAGTTAGGGATCGTGCAAGGTGGATTTGGTCGATATGTAAGATTCTGGTGAAATTTAGAAAAAAAACGGGGAAAGATATGGCATATTAACGTCATTGTGCAGTATAAATAAGTAAATAGAAAGACCTGCGGTAAAGTAATGATATTTATACAATCCTCTATAAAAGAAAATTTAAACCAGCAATATTTGTTCTTGATTCCCCGCAATATATCTATCGATTTATGGTCACAAAATTCTACCATCTGTCAATAATTGACACCATCTTATATAATTCACAGCGTTTTTATCGAAAACATGTTTATGTTATTGCGGTAACAATTGCAAGATACTAATAATTTATTGTGATAATTAACTATGATAAGGATTGTCTCAGGATAAGGATCTAAATAGCAACCGCTGTATTTTGACTGGTTGTTGCGGATAACATGCCGCCCTCTGTCACAGTTATTGAATATTCAATTCAATTACATAATTAAATAAGGTTCGATACAGAAGCAATATGATAGATAAAACGTGTTTGGCAACTACATATGGTAGAACCGA